TTATATTAATTTTGAAACTTATGTTGTTAAGTTAGGGAATTCATAATTCATATGATTCATAGCTAAATTAAAATTTTATTTTCATGCCTTGCAAGAATAATCATAATCTGATCACTCGGGATTTTCATATTTTAGTTCTGTACTATCTTAATATTTTTGTTTAAACTTATTCTTAAAAGCACAACTAGATTTCTTATTCTTGAGAATCTTGTGAAATATTATACTCTTTGTATATATAGTGGAGATGTAAAACCTATTGTAGATTTTGAACCAATCCTTCTTGGAGAGATATTCTACATCTACTCAAATCTAAATCTTCGATTCAGCAGTAAATTTTCCTTGAATAATCTCATTAGTTGTATTTTGATTAACACTTATTGAAATATATTGTTAGCATTGTCCTTAAATTGTCATTTAAAGATTATACTAATATATGATTTCTGGAAAATGATCTTAGGCCATCTTTGATTAAATATTGAGTCTTGACCATTTCTTTTACAAAATTATATTCATAGTCAGCCATGATTGAGCTTGAAAGAACATATATTCTTTTCTTTAAACCCAAGAAACACCCATGCCAAATAAAAAGATATTAACTTACCTTTGTTATCTAATTTTCTTGCACCCTTGTCTAAATCAGTAGGATACGGAACAACAATTGTAAAAAAAAAAAACCAAGAAAGTGAAAATTAGGAAAAATAAAAAGGATAAGCCTGCAAAGTCTTGGAAAAAAGAGAATGAGGTGTGCTATGATACTAAAAGATAGCATTTGAAATCCCAAGACGTCGTTTCATAAACCTTAAACCCATGGCCACATTACAACCCTAATAAAGTCCTTTTTGATTCCAAAAATCATATATTTGTATTAGTTCTATTAATTCTAAAAAGGAAAATGTTAATAGTATATTTAATATAGTATTAATATTCTTTCATGAGATTATGTCAAATTCTACTTTATTCTACTAACCGCTCTTTTGATTACTACATGTAAGATTATTTGCTTTGTTCCAAACACATGTAGCTTGTGAGAATAGTCACTATAACAGGTGTGTTCTTTTTGCGAAGTATATTCCCGGAAAGGATTGACATCAAAACTAACATGAAAGAGGGTAACATTTCTCAAGTAATTTTTAAAAATAAAGAAATCATTACACACACACACATAAGTTTTTATAAAAATATATAGATAATATTACAACCAATCTATGTTACTCTTAGAGTGATCAGACAAGAAAATATTTTTGCAATGCATACAAAATATTGATTTAATTTTGCTTATGAAAAATATAAATTAGAACTCCCTAACTACTGAAGTTTATAGGTAGCTTCACTGAAAACCTTCACGAGACAAAACTCGTCCACTAGATATCACCTTGGGGTTTAAAAGCTTGTTGCATATGCTAAATGCAATCGTGAAAAAAAATCTACGAAAATGATTCTACCTCTGTTTGTATTATATTGTGTTAATAGGTTGTTTAAAATTTACTAGGGAATAGTAAAGTTTAAGTTGGGGAATGTGATTAACCTTAATTAATATATAAATTAAAAAAATAATAAAGTCAAATTAGTGTGATAAAATAACTAAAAGCTAGCAATTAGAGTCAATTAGGGTTTGTGCAATAATTAGGGTTTTATGTGTGTTATGTTTACAAGTTGCAGGTTTAATGCAGAATTACTACACAATGCAAGGAACCAAGTAGGAAAACTTAAAACAATGAAGGCCAAAGTGTAAATTCACCAAGAGAGGAGTCAGCATACAAAGCAACTTGCAAAATCCAGCAAGGCCCAACCGTCCGGACGGTGGGCTAGGAGTCCCGACGGTGGTCTTTGGTGGTTCAGCATCAAGGCTCCACCTCATCCTTCCTCTTCCTCTATGAATAGGCATCTCCTCTTCAGACTTGAGAAGGCCGGAACCAAGAAGCTTTAGAGAGAAATCCAAGAGAGAAAAAAAAAAAGAAAGAGAAAGAGAAAATAGAAAAAAAGAAAAAGAGAAGTGCAACACGATCCGGTCCGTGATACACTTTAGTCCAAACTCTGTACTTTTACATTTCTGTTATATCTTTCTATTCGGATTGTTGAACTGCCTCCGCTTTTTTGTCTTAACTAATAATAAGGTGGTTGTGTTTTAGTTGTTCCTTGTGAAAGACATTTTAAATACTATCTTTTAATTTTAGTTGTAATAAAAATTGTTCACACTCCTTGCTTGTCTGTAGCAATGGGGCGTGCGTAGTTTCGTATATCCTTAGTGAGAGGTAAACATATGTACAATACTGGTTAAATTATGAAAATGCTGATGTTTTATATATTTATATATCTATGTGTTATATGTTTAATGCGTGATACAGTGATGTGCGTAATTCCGGTGTTGTGCCTTGAATTATGTCATCAGTGCATCATAAGACCCGCTAGTTAAACAACCACGGCATTCCTACCGGTATGGCTTGTCCTCTACCGGAATGCTGAGGATGTTAACTAATGCATGGTACAAAACCTAAATGATCCTCATGAATGACTTGTCCTTCTAGGTTATTAGGATTATTTAAATACTATATATAACTATATTGCTAGTCTAACAACCACGGTATTCCTACTGGTATGGCTTGTCCTCCACCGGAATGCTGAGGATGTTTAACTGGTATATAAATATATATCACAGATGACCTATTGGGTAATTCAAGTATTCCTCATGAATGGCTTGTCCTTCTGGTTTGCATGGGTTAATCAATTGACGTGGATATAACCAGTTAACCTAACAAGCGGCTGTGTTATGATTTATTACCTCCAGTTAGCCTAAGAAGCGGTTGTGTTATGGTTTATATACATCAGACCAATCAGTTGACTTGCCAATAAAATGGGAGTTAATCTTGGTACGGTAGCATTTCCAGTATTTAACCAGTATAACGCATATAGAATCCTTAAACTGAAGGACACTTTTTATTATTGTCTTAATCTCTCTGCACATTTACATTTCTTAGACTAATTATCAATCTAAGCTCACATCATAAGCTATCACATGCTGTCCTATTTAAATTAGCAACTTGACTATTTTATTTTGTTTCCAAATTATTAAAACTCTTCGTGGGATCAATACTTGGACTTAAAATCGAGAAAACTACAATTCAATCACTTATACTTTGGTGTATAATATTAATCCGATCACGAAAAAGTGTGAATCATACATGATAATAGAAAGAACCAAAAAGAAAAAGAAAAAAGAGCAGAGTACATGATAATAAAATTATTATTAAGATATTCAATGATCAACTCATGATGCAAGACAAATGCTCAAGAAAATAAGTAACCATCTATATATATCACAAAAATAGGCTACAAGATAAGCAAAAGATGGTTTGACCAAACTAAACTACTTATAACTTAATGCTTTGATCATCCATTCCTAAATATAAACTAAAAACATAAACTAAAACATAAAAGAAAATATGATATCAAAATGATAAATCAGAACATGAGATCCTTAGAGAAAGAGACTGAGCCCTATCCCTCAGGCTCAACTCTAGCATAATCTAGTGTATCTCTCCCAGCACCTCTTCCTCCTGTAGCTCTCCCTCTGCCTCTACCATGTTCTCTACTGCCTAGTAGCTACCTGATCTCAGTCAGCTCTACATCCTACCTTTCCATCCTCCTCAGAATCTCGAAAAGTAGATGGCGTTCAATGAGGGGATTAGCCTCCTCATCAAAGGGATCCAACTGTGGTCCTCGATCAAATACTCTTCTATGTCCCCCATATCAGCCTCAGGATCAACTGGCTCTACACCCCTGGCTACATCAGTCACCACTTGGCTCTTGTGTATAGCCCTATAGTTGATCTCTGCCACTCTATGGAGTCTTGGGTAGGTTGGGTCTATCACCACCCCATTGCGAATGCAAAGGGTAGTGACCAACTCAGGGAATGACAGAGACCTCCCACCAGTCCATTTTACCCCCTGCATAATATCTAATAATATGTAGGAGGGAAGATCAAAGGTCACATTAGTGGCGATGGCATGAATAAGTCAGGCGTGTTCCAGGTACACCTCATTATTGCGCATCTGAGGTAGGAATCGAGATGTAGATATCAGATTAAGAATCTAATACCTCTCCAAAAGAGCTCCATAATCCAACTACTTCTCCACATTTGGGTTCGAGACATAATATGGATCACCCAATAGCAACTATGCACACTTGGATGGGTCCACAAGAGAGGAGGCAAACTAAAGTTGAGGCACTCTAGCTTGCTCAAATTGTGCCACCGTGGCATTTTCAACAGCATGCACTGCAAATCCCTTTCAGGAACTGCGTTCAGATGTCGATCAAATGACGTCTGAACATTAAAAATTAGGTAGTTGGGGCGTTGGCATTTAATCCCTTCCCGATTTTTATTGCTTTGCCAGGAGAACTAGATGGCCTAACTGATTTATGACCTCCCCTCTTCCCCTGATGGTTGGAAGCATGACTTTTCGTTCGTGTTTGAGGATGGCTAGGAGTCTAGTAGAGAGGCAGCTAAGTTTGTTCGTGTTCCCCTGTGTTAGGAGGTCCCCATGAACTTAGGTGAGTCAATCCTTTCTGAGCTCCTTCTCGATTCTAAATTCTGATTTTTTGTTCTAACCTTCCTTCTTTGGTATTTTAGAGGAGACACCTGCAATAATCTCAACTGAGCAAGTTGGCATCTCTCAGGCCAAGGCTTGTGATGCGAGGTCTTTTAGTAATTTGGTCACGGTTGAGAACCCCGTCAAGTTTTAGCTTGGTTAAGGAAACTTCTTCTGGTGAGCGGTCTTCCTTCTTGTACACTTCTTGGCTTAAACTTCTTTCTGGTAAATGAAAAAACAAATTGCTGTTGCAAGTTCAATGAGGATTGCTCCTAACAGAGATTTTGTGATGAAGGCATTGGCCAACAACAAGTAGACCAGGGAATCTGGTACCTCTTCGCCCAAGAAGAGGTCCAAGGGATCGGAACAACTTCCTTGTCTATTATTGCAATTTCTGATCTTACTACTGTTCAAATGGGGGCCCAGGAGGTTATAACCATCAAGACTCGAGGGATCACTAAGAAGAGTCTGTTTGAGGAGGTTGAGATCATTTCCCAAACAATGCCCAGGTCGGAGCTGACGACTTTGGGCCTAGTCAGGTCAGCTCTAAGCTCCTCTACCCTAGGTCTTGAGGTGCCCAGTCTTCTTAATGAATTTGTGCTAGCAAGTCTCCAACTCCTAAACATCGTATGATCGGCCGATCTCAAGTTGTTCTCTCAACTGAATTATGTCGACAAGGCTAGGCATGCCCTTCATAGATTGGTGGTGGTATAACTTCCTTTCTCTTTTTCTGTTTCTAGTCTCACATGTCTCTTCTTCTATCTATTTTTCTCAGTATTTTGCAGGCTGCCACCCACATCAATGCCCTTGCTGTAGAGATGCACCACACAAAGGGGGAGCTTAGTGCCAAAGAGACTGGTCTTGCTTCAACAAAGAGGCAAAGGGGATATCTTGCTAACCAGTTGGTAGCTTCTACCTCCTTTGAACTCTCATTAAAGGACTTGTTGGAATCAAGAGAGGTCTCCCTTGTTCGAGCTACTATGGTGGCAGAAAGAGCCAAGCTTGAGAAAGATAAGGTGGTGGAGGAGAACATCTTGTTGAAGTCTCAGTTGGCTAAGACAAGAGGCCTTCCTTGTTTGACCTACTAAGGCGGCAGAAAGAGCCAAGCTTGAGAAAGATAAGGTGGTGGAGGAGAACATCTTGTTGAAGTCTCAGTTGGCTAAAATGCTTGACAAAATTTCTTGTTGTTTCCTATCCTCTAAACATCACATTTTAGCATGTATAGTATATGGATGAAGGGGAGTGTCACTCTCCTACAGGTGATGTCAAAAGAAAGGGCAATGAGATGGGGGAAAATGAAATAATGGTAATGTGATGTGTAAATGCACAACAAATGTGTGTGTGTGTACAAAAGTGCTCCCCAAGCACAAGAAGACTTTTGCGGATCGTGTTTTACTTGGTGCTATTCCAAGTTCGTTTCCATGGGGAAGAAAGTAAACCGAGGAGAAGGTGATTTTGGTAAAAGGGATGTATAAAATCTTTTGTTGTTGGAAGTTGTTTGGTGAAGTTTATTTTGATGCTAATAAAATGAGAAATAAATGTTGGCAAATCCAAGAGGTCACTCCAATAGGAATACCGTCTCAACTCGAAACTCTCCTCCAATAGAGCATGAATGAACGATTGATTCGTGGGAAGTTAGGGATAAGATTGGTGAGTATCTAAGCATAAACCGTGACTAGGCCTACGGAATATCAAAGACTCGCCAACTTATCCACCCTTAACCCAGTCAAACCGAACCATTGAAATTTGAAAGAAGGGAGGAGAATGAGTTGAAATGGTATACCCAAGTGAAGGTTCCCCTTGGTTTTGCCAACTAAAAGATTTAGCTACTCATGCTTAAAATAAAATTGACAATGTAATGAGAATGCATTACAAAGATATGAAGTTCTAGAGTAACTAGATGCAAGAAAACATAAGCTATAAGAGAGTATATTTAATACGGATTTGAAAACTAAGAAAATGAAGAACTTTGATGCATTAATGGTGAAAGCTTTAAAAGAGCATTAAACTTGCATTCAACTTGAAGGAGAACAACATTCATGACATTAAATGAAGTTCTAAAGATTCATACCAGAGATTACAAGACAATGTATTGAAAGAAATGCAAAAATCTTAATTTTCTCTCACTAGAACACTATTCATCATCTTCTACCCAGACTTTCTCTCTCTATATCTATTCGATTCCATGCAATCTGAACAATAGAGTCATTTTCCCCCCAAAAATGTGCTTGGAGTCCCTTCTTAGCTGAGTGATGTGATTTCCATCCATAGAAGCTGCATGGTACAGACTAGGACCACCCTCTACTATTCTCTCTCCCAAGCTTCTTCTCTCTCCCCTCATTAATGCAAAAGCCATCCAAGTCCAAGTAGAGGTGAGGGGAGGCTCCTAGACGTGCAGGGGATGTCAACGGGTCTATTGGAGAAGTGTAAGTGGGACCCCCAAATGACAGAGCTAGAGATGCAGGCTGTCTAGGAAATCTGGGCAAAATCTTCTACAAGGTCAACAGAAAACCTTCCGGAAGTTTTGTGTAGGAACAATTAAATGAAGAGGTCAATAGGTAAAACCTTCCGGAAGGTTCATTCCAGTAGACAAAACCTTCTGGAAGGTTTCACTCCAGTAAGCAAAACCTTCTAGAAGGTTCATTCTAGTAGACATAACCTTCCGGAAGATTTTGGCATTGAAAAAGAAATCCAAGGCAAAACCTTCCGGAAAGTTTTTTTACCCAAACCTTCCGGAAGGTCTTCAACCAAATTCCATTTTCTTGGTTTCTTCTCCCTCCAAACCTTCCTTTAAGCTACCCCCTCTTCTTCATTGACTTCAACCACTTCAATAGGGATATTACTCATACCATTTACATTGTTTTACCTGCATTCACACAAAACTCCATCAAAACGAAAGTTAAGCACATGTCTCCCCAAATTCATGACTATAAACAAGTGTAAAAGGCATATTAGCACACAATTTATGTCGTGTTTTTGTGCTAATCACAAGACAACCAAGAAGTTCTTTGATTTGGAGGCCTAGCTGGATGCCCAAAAGAAAAGGTGCAGAAGCTGAAAGAAGACGCTGCCACCAGTTTTCTAGATGATTTTGGAACTTCCCATAGCAAGCTCAAGCTACATTCCCACAGCTAGATTTTAAACTATTCAAGCCTATTTTTTCTGATGACAAGGCTGTTGGGACGGGAGGGAAAGAGGTTGGGCAAAGTTGACCTACTCATTTCCTTTTCTTTTGGGAACATAGAACTTTTGTATTCCTCCCCCCTTTTTGAAGTAGAAGTCTTTCAGTTGTATTCCTCTTTTTTCTTTGCATGGCGTAGCTGTTGTGTTGATGTTAGAGCAGGACGATGACAATTGTTCCCACAAACGACACCAAATTGATAGTTTGAAAAACATGGTGTGAGAGGGTCTAAGTGTCGAACGAAAAAAATGAGTGAAAAAGCATGAATTAACAATCATAGAACAAGTAAAATGGGGAACAGTATGAGTGGTTCACCAAGCTAAATAGCTAAACTAATACACTGGAGTTTCTTGCTCCTATGTCTATTCTTAATACTGATGATGATGGTATAAATCAACGTGGTGCAACTCTGTGATATTGAATAGATGAGATGAGCAGTATGTGACTATTAGGATCGGAGCTGCAAGGCTTGAATGATCAAGGATTGGTATTGAGGAAAAATTGAGGGATTGACACAATGAAAATATAGTGGTTCACCAGCTCAAGAGCTCGGCTTATCCACTCTTTAATGGAGACTTTTGCTCCTTTTTTCTTTATAGATTATCCGAAAGGTTTACAAGATCGATTGTATGCTACTCGGTTCTTTTTCCTCTTGGAAGCGTTACATAGTATTTATAGGGCTGTCCCTAGTTCTACGGGATCTGCACCGAGATCGTTGCCATTTATCCAAGGAACTCTACTTAATCTTAGGAGAGGATCTTGGCTGGTTAAGGATTTTGTGCCTTGAATATGACTCTTTGCCACCTATAAGATTTTTATTGTCATCCAATTGTTCCCTTATCATTTTCGCTGTTGTCACGTCTGGGGGGGAGCTCTAGCTCTGATCCTCTGAGCTCTGCGTGTCTTCCTTGACTTCTTGGTCTGACCTGCTTGTCTGACCTCCGCGTCTGAGCTCATACTTGAAAATTATTCTAAGTATCATCAGTTGCCCCCTAACCCTTAGCCCAAGTGAACTTGGGTAGAGGCTGAGCTGAGGCTTAATTAAGGCAGACCTCCAGACGTGGACCTCGATTTATGCACGAATAAGTTGTTGACGGTTTCAACTAATCATTTTACTTCCTAGTTTCTCATGCATGTTCTCCACTTTGTACCGTTAACTTTAAATGCCTCTGAATTGAGGGGGGATGGCTCATTTTGTCCTTTGAATTCCCTCTCCACACTTTTCCCTCTCTTCTTCCTACAATTTTTAGACTTTCAATTCTACTGGTGCTGCTAAGGTTTCACTGAAAAATTGACTTTCCCTGATTCAATCCGTGGTTTCAACGAGATTCGCTATTTGCCCTTGATTCTGGCTTTGGCCTACTGTTCGCCCTTACCTAGGTACGTTTCTTGCCCTCTATTTATCTCTTCGTTCTAGATCCCTCAAACTTGAGGTGATTTATATATTTTTGGACCTTTCGATTCTGTTATTTTAAAACCGAGATCGATCTCTGCCTCGTATTCTCCTCTTCTTAGACCCTTATTCGACTGCTAGGGTCTTTCTTATTGGCAGTTGCTGTGTTGCTCCCCAGACCCTTAGGGAGTATTTCGCAAATATTCCTCCCCTTTATCATATCTTTAGACTCCCTTTTTCTTGTCCCACCATGTCTGCCTCTTCTGAAGCTACCCCTTCCTCTGTTTCCCTCCTAGGGGATAGGACTACTGAGGATGATTCCGATTTAGGTGAGGTAGGTAAGGAAATTGATAAATTCCCTAGTGTTGATTCTATTGAAGCTGAGGGAAACATTGAGGGAACTCCTCCATCAGCCTCCCCTGCGTCCAAAAATTCTAGTAAAGGTAAGGCTAAGGTGAGTGGAGTTGGCGTCTTAGGTAGTGCCGAGGGCGCAGGGGCTACCTTTAGAGCTACAGAGCTCATGGGCCTTAGTGAGGCTTCCCCATCTCTTATGAAGGTTCTCAGTGCTCGCTTTGGTTTTCCCCTAGGAGTTCAGTGCTGGTGTCCAGATAAATTTACCCTATATGTCTCCTAGGTCCATAAAAAGGTTTGCTTCTTTATTGCTACCTTTGAGAATGGTCTGCGTTTTCCCTTACACCTTTTTATCAAAAGTGTTCTACAACATTTCAACGTTTGTCCTGTCCAACTGTCTCCTAACTTCTAGGGTGTTCTAGTGGGTCTCCTTGTTTTCTTCAAGAGCCGTAAGCTCAAGATTCCCACCATTTCCTTGCTCATGGAGCTTTTCAATGTTAAGCTTACTTCCTCTGAGGGCTTTTTGTATATCTCTAAACGAACAAAGGCCAAACAGATTATTCCTGACCTCCTGAGCTCTCACAAGGGCTGGAGAAAACTTTTCTTCTTCGTGTGGGGAGAACACTGGCAGTACAATCCAGCGGATAAGACAGACACTCTCCCAATCCCTAGAGCCTGGTCTGCTCCAGATAACCTGGGTAAGTCCTTACTCAAACTAACTAAGCTCGGGTTTAGAGACCCTTCCTGACTTTGTCCTGCCTTATGTTGTTTCTCAGGTGTTCGACCTGAGCTCAGTGCTAAGGACGAGTGGGTGCTGCAAAGATTTGAGAAGTGTGACCCAGAAAAATATTCTGAGCTTATCAAGCCTTGGGTTCTAGTAAGGGAAGGGTTCAGCCTTCCAGTGGTAACAGTAGAAGCCCCAATCCCACTCTCCATTGTCAGAGCTGAGGAGGTAGCAGGTGACGTTTCTTTCCATCGTTGCCTTTGCTCTTTTACCTTTGCCTCCCCCCTTTCTTTTTTTTTTCTTTTTTTTTATGTTGGTTCTTTTTTGAGGTTCCAGGTTCTTCCTCAATGGAGCCCACTGTGAAGGATCACACTATCAAACTATCCTTGATGAGGAAGAACCGAAGTGGAAATAAACGCAAGGTTGAGGTTGGCTTAGG